ACAGCAGCACAGGCAACTCGGGAGTAAGGCTGTAAGGTAATGGCCCCTCCCTCAAGAGGATAAAAGCCGGGTTTGGAAAAGCATTCTTTGCAGATAGCAAAGAAGCTCTTAAACTCAACTGGTGGACATCTTAGTTCGTGTTTGGAGAATTTTGTAAATTAGTTCTTATCTCTGGGTTTTTGGCAGCCTTGACAAACAACTTGGCAAGGCTCTTTCTTGTCAGAGCTAATTAGTGGAAAGCAGCCTTCAGAACAGACTTCGTTATTAAACCTTAAAAGGTGGGGGCTGCTGCCTTTGTGTTTGCTCTTTGGGAACCCAGTTGGGTCAGAACATCATGCAACCCAGTTCCCTTCTCCTGCCCCACCCCCCAGCCAGGCCACCAAGCCACAAAGGTTGGGGATCACTGCTCTATAAGATCAGAACTGCAGTGGTGAGATTCAAAAAATTTCACTACCAGTGCTGTGGGTGTGGCTTGGTGGGCGTGGTGTGGCTTGTTAGGTGTGGCAGGGAAAGGATACTGCAAAATCTTCATTCCCACCCCACTCCAGGGGGAAGGTTACTGCTGGTTCTCAGAACTACTCAAAATTTCCACTACTGATTCTCCAGAGCTGGTCAGAACCTGCTGAATACCACCTCAGATCAGAAGTGCCATTAGTTAAAAGTAGTGAGGAAGTTCGGGGATGTAAAATGTTGGCAGATACTGGTAGTGAATAAGATGTAAAAAGGAAAGTATCTGAAAAAGTGGTGAGATAAAGAATTGGAAAGTATCCATTTGGAATGGATGTGAAGGAACCTCAGCCATAACATCCTTGTGGAAAAGTAATATACTAAAAATAAAAGCTGAATAATCAGAGTTCGTTTCTCCTCATTTCTGGATATTACTTTTGATAATAAGGTGAAGCAATAATCTCTATTTTCTGCACTAAATTCTCTCTTAGTGTGTGTGTGTGTGTGTGTGTGTGTGTGTGTGCTTGTATGCCTATACAGTATATTCAATGAGCCATAACGAATGTTTATGTCTATGACTTTATTTAGGATTAAATGATGACTCAGAGAACAATGCAGTTTAAGAATAGATCCCTGTACAGGGTGACCTGCTTTATATGCAGTGCTTTTTGTTTAAAAAGTGTTCAAAGGCATAATTAAGAATAATTTTCCCTTTGTTCAAAAGTAATTGATTCAAACACACATTTTGTAAGATATAAGGAAGGTACTTTAGATCTGGAAAAAACATTGTGTTTCTCTGGAATTTAGCATTATTTGAGATATTAGCAGTTAATTAGCTCCACTGCAGCAGCTACCCCTACACCCCTTCTCATCTTCTGCAATCTAGTTTTCCTGAATGAATGTAAGATGCTTTGGATCAGAAATTTATACCTGGTCTACAGGGCCTCCTTGGCACTCTTGTTGAAAGTTTGGAAATATTTTTTTAAGGAGTGGCGGTGGGAAGGACACATTCCACTGTACATTTGGGGAAGGTCAAAGGTCAAATCAGGCAGCACTATAGAGGAGAAGCTGCACCTGACATGCTGGTTAAATCAGATTTTCCTTCCTAGGAAAAATGTCTAGGATTTAGAAGGATTTTCCCTCCTAAAATCCTTTAGAAAGATTTTTTTTTTTTAGTCTTTTAATGCACATATCATGCTTTCCAGGGCTTATACTACTTCCTTCGCAATAGTGGAAAACTCTCCACTTGATTTTCAGAAATCATAAACAGTCTTGAGGGGTGCAGGAAAAAAAATTCTTAGCAAACTTGGAGACCTCAAGCGACCTGGAGTTTCAGATTGTCCACTCTGGTGCAGAGCTTCTGTGAGGACTCTGTATCAGGGGACTCCAATTTTGGTAACTTTAAGCCTGGTGGACTTCAACTCCCAGAATTCCCCAGCCAGCTTTGCTGGCTGGGGAATTCTGGGAGTTGAAGTCCTCCAGGTTTAAAGTTGTCAAGGTTGGAGACCTCTGCTCTGTACAGACCTTGTACTGTGTATTAGTGTGCTACAGGTTAAGCTAACCAATTGTTGGAAGAAATATCCTTCTGGGTTCAGTTCCAAGTGGGGAAAGAGACACTGGAAACATGGAGGCTGTTTGGAAAGATGGTTTAATGGTGGACAGGATCACATGGCTTGAAGCTCCAAAGTGAAAAGGATGATCACATGCTTCAAGATGTTGGTTGAAGGAAAAGGAAAAGGCCAAGATGCTGAGAGACCCTTAGTTATATACCCTCTGTTGGGATTTGAATTTGAGCTTGTATTCTGATTGGTTGTCAGACTCCCATGGGGCCATGCAGGGGCAACTCTGTAGGCTGTCCTGAGTGCCAGGCTTGGTTGAGCCTTGCTGGATGTTGATGTAATGAAAGGGCTTTGGGCAATTCCTCTTATAGCTCTACCTGGAATAGATCTTTGTTATGTAAAATAGACTGGCCCAGGCCAGAGTAATGGTCCATTATGGGTGAGGGCTGAGTTTCTGCCTCTTTGAGTTTCTACTTTTCTTTTTAGGGAAAATATTCTGCCTTTTTAATATTTCCTAGGCTATTTCATTTTTCTAGGAGAGGGGTGGGTGCTGACTTCCTACACTATAATCCCCAGATAGGCAGGGAGGAAACAGAAGAGGAGTGGATACTGTAACTGAAGTCACCATTAACAAACTCTTTCCCCTGATCAAACAATTTGGCTCTTTCTGTGTTTTGTATAGGGTCCCTCTCCCTTTTTGTTCCTCCTTCCCCTGATGTGATTACAGATAGTCCTCAAACCAGAACCTGAGCCCAAAATTTGCATTACTTGCTAACCAAGATAGTTGTTATGTGAGTTTTGCCCTATTTTACAACCTTTCTTGTTAGAGTTGTTCAGTGAATCACTGCAGTGGTTTAATTAGTAACACGGTTGTTAAGTAAGTCGGCCTTCCCCATTGGCTTTGCTTGTCAGAAGCCTGCAAAATATGAACACATGACCCCGAGACACTGCAACCATCATAAATATATTCCAGTTATCTCATGGCCAAATTTTGACCCTGGGGTTGTTGCAATGGTCATTAAGTGTGACAAAATCACCAGTCACTTTTTGAGGTGCCATGGTAACTTTCTCTAAACGAATCGTTGGATGTCAAGAACTATCTGTACTTTCCTTTTCTCCTTTCCAAAGGCGAGGAGGGAGAATGGGAGTACCTCATTTGTACTTTCTCAAGGCCCACTTGTTGTTACAGTCAGGGGTGGGCTTCAAAGATTTTAGCAAAGGGTTCTCTGCCCCGTTGCTGGGTGGATGTGGCCATGGTGGGTGTGGCCTAGTTGGCCTCCTGCATCATAGTGTGTGTGTGTGTGTGTGTGTTTGTCCTCCCCTGTTCTGGAGGCTTACCTTGAGCCTCCAGGAGGGTGAAAACAGCCTCCCCGGGCTCCGGAGGGCTCTCAGGAAGCCAGAAATAGGCCCAAACTTCCAGGAGGCCCATTTTTCACCCTCTCTGAGCCTCCGCACGCACCTGCACATACCTGCATCCGAAATGGGCCGCTTGGGGACTCCTGGGAGGGGCAGGGTGGGTGGGGCCAGCCAGGAGTGGGATTTGGGGGTTCTCTGAACTGCACAGAAATTTAGCTAGGGGCACTCCCTGCGAACCCCCAGCAGCCCAGCCCTGGTTACATTACAGTTCAGGAGTAAGGTTTTCCCCAATGGAAGAGGGAAATCTATGGAATGTACAGGTAGTCCACGAATTACGAGCACAATTAAGCACAACATTTATGTTGCTAAGTAAAACATTTGTTAAGTTGACTTTGCCCCCATTTTATGACTTTTCTTGCCACAGTTGTTAAGTCAATCATTCCATTCGTTAAATTAATAACCCGATTATTAAGTGAATCTGGATTCCCCATTGACTTTGCTGATCAGAAGGTGGCAAAGTGGGATCACATGACCCTGAGAGGTAGCAACTGTCATAAATATGAACCAATTGCCAAGCACCTGAAGTTTGATCATGTGACCATGGGTCGAGAGTGTTCAGAACAGTCACAAGTCTCTTTTTTCAGGATCATTGTAACTTTGAATGGTCACTATATGAATTGGTGTAAGTTGACAACTACCTGTATTTCCCTTTTTGATTCACAATCTAGCAGATTCTACTATTGACCTCACCCCTTTCCTAAGAGGTCTGCAGGGCGCGTGCATAAGCGCACCAACGTGCCTACTGTCCCTGTCCTATTGTTTCTTTTATTTTTCTTATATGTATCCATGTATCCATAACTATGTTTTTACTTATACCTATTATCTTGTAAGCAATTGACAAACCAAATAAAATAAAATAAAAATAAAATAGAGGGCAAGAAAATGAGAAGCTAAGTAGAAAAATAAGAACTCTAAGAGAAAAACGCATTTCGATAAACTTGTTACTTCTCTGTAATTATTATTATCAAATATTCTGTCAGGCAAAATCCGGTAGAAATATATATAGTCTATATTTCTTGTGTATAACTCAGCCATATGTGGCACTTAACATCTGATATACTAAGAAAAACATTGAAAATTAGAGAGTGGTAGTCATTTCTCTAACTCATATATGCATAGAAATCATTTAATTTAATCATGTTCTCTTGGACAAACTGGGTAGATGGACAGTCTAGGATAAGATGTCCATTCCACAAATTAAAAAGAAGAGAGACTGGCAGGAATATCTCACCTTAGTATTGAGTGCATAGACACTGTGAAATCTCAGGTTGGCTCATGACCTTAAAATAGTAAGTACCATATGTCGAAGTATTCTGAAACCATCATCTATTTCGCATCCATATCAGATATTTTATTTGTCAATGAGGGCTTCAATTTCTTGCCAAAATATCTATAAAAATAAATGAGGAAGGATGCAATGTGGGTTGCAGGTTTGCATTTACTATATGCTTGCTGTGGAATTCCCTAAACAGAGTGCCTGCCCAACACTGGATTATGTAATAGGGAACAGATGGGTATCACTATGTCCATGCATACTTTTTTATAGACTTGTGATTTGTCTTATTTTTAGTATGTATGTCTGAATTTTCTCAAGAAATGAAGATATTGGAAGGTCAAACCAGTATCAAAGGGGATGGCTATAGAACAACCATAAGGTGACCACGATATGAGTTTGAGGGTACCACAAACCCTTTTCAATTCTCCGTATGTGCTCATATTTCATTTGCATACACTTCAGCTTCAAACTTCAGCTCATTTCCTTAAGGGCCACGCTGAAATTTTGTAGGGCGTCTTGGAATGACTTCAACAAAGAAATTCCTAGTTCATTTCCTGTTTCCTGAATTGCAGCATCGTACCCTCCATAGAGGGGAGTAGAAGCCTTGATGTCTTCCCGCTTTGCTTGCAAAAAAATCATATGAAGATCTTCGACTATTCTCTCATATTTCTGGTGGTCAAATTTCGAAAGATCACTTTCCCCAATTGGGTAACTGATGTTGCTTGCATAGCAATCTTTCGGAACCGGAAATTCGATATATTTCAGCTTTGGAAAATCAATGAAAACATTAAAAAGGCATTTCAAGGCTCGAGAAGATAGAGGATTTCCAAGGAACTTTAGCTCCTCTAATTTCTGACAAGGAATCAACCCCAAAATCAGCATGTTGACATGAATGTCCTGAATGTTGCATTCCTCAAGTGTGAGGCTTTTCAGTGTATAAGACGAACGGTTCAGGAGTTTGAAGAAGGTTGATGGGTACAAATCAGCCACATCATGCCCACTGATATCAAGAGCTTCTAGATTCTCAGAATGCAGGCTGTTGGCTAAATAAGCCATGTCAGAATGGTTCAGAGAACAGTTGGAAACATCCAGCATTTTCAGCGGTGTCTTCAAAGGACTGTAAAGTTCAATAAAACCACAAATCCAATAATTGTACTAGTCCATTCTACAGCTTTTAAAAACAAGAGATAAATAAACATGCATAGGCTAGCTTCTGTAACATAAGAACGGAAAATGGTTCTAGTGTCAATTTTTTAAAAAAGGGATCGGGGAAAGTATAGATCACCTAGCTAAGTAAATTGGTGGAAAAGTGGTATTAAAAAATAGAATGGTCATCTGGGCATATGGTAACATCTTGCTAATTCTTCGGTATGATTTATGCAAAGATAATTCCTGCCTCACTAATTTTTGGAGACATTTGAAAGTTTCATCAAATAAGTGGCTGTGATTCATTTGCCAGACCTTGTTTATCTGGCATTTCAAAAGGCTTTTAATAAAGTCCCTCATCAAAGACTCTGAGCAAATTTAGCAGTCATGGGATAAGAGGAGAAGTCCTCATATAGATTGGTGGCTGATTGAAGTACAGGAAGAAGAAAGTGGAAATAAATTAGTTTCCATTCACACAGAGCTGAGATGTAAACAGAATATTTGTACTGGGGTTGAGACACATTATTTTCAAGTATTCCAGAAAGAGTAGGGCTGAACAGTGGAGAGGTCAAACCAGGGTATTATATACCAAATTATTTAGAGTGCCCACAAAATTGGTAAAAATATTGCTTTAGGGTTTTCTTCATGGCCAAATTAAGATGTCTAACAGTCAATGAGCTGACACAAAGCTCTACTAATATAACATTTACTGAATACAGATATTTTCCCCTCCCCAAATCTAGCAATCCCTGTCAAGCCACAGACACGAGGTTCCCAAATAGCCATGCCCTTCTTGTCTATAGAGACCTTATTAAGGAGGGGAAGTCTCACATCGTTATTTTCTTCTCCTCTCACCAAATATCATCACCAACCACTGTCCTTAATGTGGAATGTGGATTAGAGAAGAAGCAAATGTTGATAGGTGGCTAGACCAATAAATTTAGCTCTTACTCAAAACTTATTCAGGTGTTAGCTTTCTCTTTGCCCTTGCATTGTGCAGCATCCGCTCTGCCAGTTTTGGTAAGTTGCTGACCAAACTAATCTAGATCCGCGGGCTATGAGTCAAGAATAGCCTGGAAAAAAGGGAGTCTGTTTGCATCAGCCTAAAGTGGCCAATAGGTCCCTGGTTGATCCCAAGCTCTTGGGGGTGGGGGTGGGGCACCTGAAAGCCCCACTAGTGGGGTGGTTGGTGAAGTGCATCACTCTAATCAAAGCAAAACTTTGTTAAGGGAAATAACGCTTCTTTCCAGTACAACTTCATAAGTGACATAAAGCCGTCTCAGTGATGGCCTGGGATCCAATCAAGGAATATAAGAACATGGTAGAAAAAAGGAGATTTCTGTGGCATATTTTTGCTAGAATTAAGGCTTTCCTGTATTCCATTTCCATCTTTGCAATCCTAAAGAAATACACTTAAAACAATCGTTTAAATATTGTAGTGCCTTTGTCCAAATCTGCAATGTGAGAATTACAGCACAAACACTTTGAAAAAGTTTGTTGCAATGGTTTGTGCAACGTTCTCTATATTGTGAATTTTGTTGTTATGCTTTTCCTGTCCCCCAAGAAAATGTAGCAATGGGAGAATGAGAATGAGGATGGGGTTACTGTTGTTTTCTGTGTGTGTCTGTGTAGGTTTGGGTCTGTGTCTGTGATCAGTGGTGGGATTCTGTGGGCGTGGCTTGGTGGGCGTGGCAGGGGACGGATACTGTAAAATCTCTAGTCAGAGGTGGTATTTACCAAAATTACTCAAAATTTCCGCCAACGGTTCTCCAGAACTGGTCAGAACCTGCTGAATACCACCTCTGGTTTGTATGCGTAGACTCTCCTCCTTAGCCAATTAGAGGGACTGCTGGTGAGATTAAGGGTAGTAGCTGCTCAAGATTTAGGAAGACAAAGACTTTGGCTTAAGAAAGGGCTTCCTTATGTGCACCTAAATTTATGAATTTAAGTTTCACTTTTAATGTCACATCTCAGTAGAAAAGATCCTTCTTAACTTTTTATCCAAAGGCTTAGGATTTCTTGATCCTTTATTATTTTAGATTTTTATAAAGCTTGATAGTCCAATTGTTGGCTTGCCTAGGCCACATTGAGTGAAGAGGAATTGTCTTGGGCTGCAGATAAAATATATAATGTATATAAATAACAAATTTCAGGAGTCCTTGGTGCTCTTTGAGCCTGGTTGTTTATTTGCAGACATTTCATTACCTGAACCAGGTAACTAGCACTGATGATGTTACCTAGTTTGGATAATAAAACATATGCAAGAAAACAACCAAGCTCAGAGAGCACCAAGGACCCTTCATTTCACCCTGAGCTACAAATATTCTCCTTTACTAATGACAAACCCTTTTTATATTGCTTTATTACCTTGTGGAGCTACTTTAGCTACCAGTACCACATGCAGCCTATGAGCCATGGCTTGGACAAGCCTGAGCTAAAGAAAGTAATTCCATGCCAGGATGATGACTTAAATAATGAATTCAGTAGCTGCTCATAATTTCTTTTCTGTCTCAGGCATAGTAAGAATAATGATCGCATGCTGTAACTGATATTGATTTGACTGTTGGCTCAGAAAGTGCCCCCAATATAGTTTTGGGATAAAAAAATTAGATCTTCTATAGTATAAAATTGCTTTTGATAGCAAATTACAATTGAGATATTATTTTCATATGTGAAATATAAATACTTTGTATAGAAGGAGACTTTCCTTTGGTTTGTCATTTAGGGCTTGATCAGACCCCAAATAATTTTTTCCCAAACTGCTGCATTTTTAAAATCATGATTACAGATCAGTCTTATACACATGGAATTAAGCCAGATTTAATTCCTTTTCAGTAGAGATATATAAATATGTTCTGTAAACCAAAGGGAAGGGTAAAAACAATCAAAGAATTGGAAGAAGGCACTTTGGAGTTCATGGTAATATAACCTGTACCCACTGGACATCTACTGCTCAAAACTATTAACTATGAACTCCAAAGAATAAAATGTCTCATGCATTGAAAGTTGAAAACTTTTCAGCAGAATATTTTATCTGGAAATCCCCATGGGAACATTTTGTTGGTCTCTTATTAAACATTGGCCTTAGCCACTGAAAATCTGAGTTCATTTCTCTTAGCCAGTGTGTCTAGGAGACAATTTGAGACAGCTGGTTTCTGTCAGATTCAATTCCTCCCCAAGTAAGACTGGAATAATATGGAACCATCCTGGTGAGTGAGTGATTTGCTATCAATTAACCAGCAACATGCAATTGCTGCTCTCTATCACCATGCCTTCCTCCCAATAACAGTAGTAGCAGCGGTGATACCTAATCCTTTCTTCCTGCATTTCCAACTGCCTGGCACTTTGACTCGCAGCAAAAGCAATGTGGAACGCATTACCTGAGCAGTTTACGGAGCCGTCCGGTGAGGGTGGAAAATGCCAGGCTCAACTCTGTCAGCTGAGTCATTTGGCTCATCTTTTCCGCAATTCCTGAAAGAGTGTCTTCATCCTCTGGTGTGAACCTTCTCACATCAAAGGTCCCAGCTGGCAGGGTGAGCGATGCCAGTTTAGGAAACTGGACGTTATTAAAAAGCACTTGCAAATGTTCCATATGGAGCCTAACATTGTGAACTACTTCAAACTTGCCCAGGGAAGAGGGCTCTGTAAGCTTTATGATGTAGAAGAGCTTCCGTAGAGCCAGATTGTCCACTCGGAAGGCTTTGCAGCGGATTTTGAGTGGGCAGTGACACCTCATTAGCAGGGCCTGGACAACTAACTCATAGTTTCGTTCAGTGACAAAGATGTCAGCAAAGACATCCACAGAGACTTCAAACACATCAGGAAGGAAGGGCGAGTTTTGCATGTCCACCAGCAGGTCATAGCAGGTCCTTGAGAGAAGTTCTGTCCGGGCCCACCGTCCCATTGTTTTTCTACAGGGGCAGAGTTGAACTTCAACATCCTTTATGCCTGTTAAGTCCACGGTTTTGAGTCGTTTCGCATAGGGTGATGAGAAATTCAAAACATAGTCCTTCAAACCAGCTAGGCAGCTGGTCAGGCACAGAGAACAGGCTCGGTTACTGATGTCTTCTGGGTGATCAGCTGTCTTTCCCAGTAACTTTCCAACATTGAATTCGGCCAGTGGCCAGTTCTCCACCAGGTCATGAATCACCTCCACCTTCTCCTGCAAGTAGCTTGCCTTAAAAAGAAGAGGGAAGAGGTTGTGTGCAAGATGGCTCAGGTTCTGCCTTACCAATTGCCCCTTAGATACCAGAACTTCAGCACTCAGAAACCGTAGCGAGTGCATTGCTGCTTTGTGATTCTGTCAGGTGCTCCGGACCTGTTTTTCTGATGGAGAAACCCTCTCTCTTATCATCTTCTATTTTTAGCTGCAGCTGCTGTGGTGGAGAGTGGGAGGATCTGGGAAGGCAGCAGTCACATCAACATGCTAAATTTAAGCTACTATTTTTGGTATCAGATATACATCAGACAATTTTAACTCCTGAGTTTGTTTCACAGGGCGTTCATTTCCATAATCTTTTGTGAACGAGAACAAAGTCAGACTTATAGTAGGTATTTCCTTAAAAGTATTTGCAGTCACCTTGTTAAAGATAATTCTGTTCTACTTCTCAAAGATAGCTTCCAAAATGAATATAAAACAATAAGACATTTTTGAACCATTAAATCAGCTAGCCATAAAAGTAAACCACTAGGAAAGGTGAGGTAGATATGCATGTACTGAAGTGTTTTATCTGATTTTTAACAAGATTTTAAAAATATTTTTACCTAAACTTAAAATTCATCATCACTTCATGCAACAAAGAACATGAGATTTAATGATCAGAGATACAATCCCTTTAAGATGAACAATCATAGACATGTCTTTATTGCCAATTTTTAAAAAATCATTCATAGGTTTCATAAATTAATGACTGGAAAGGCTCGGTATAAAAATGAAAGAAAAAAATACCACTGTTAATAATGATTTGGACTGTACAAATCTTTCCTTTGTCTTTCCACTATAAAAAGATACATGCAGTGTTTAATCAGCATATGAATCAGATCCAGTTCTCTAGTCATGTAATTTAGTTTACATGTTCTTAGAGCTTCACTATCAAATCAGATATGTTCAGAGCACCACTTCCAAAACTCCTACCCAGCACATCCAATGTATCTGTAAGATTTCCAGGTGGAAGTGCTAACCTATCAAAATTGTAAAGAAGAACTTTCTTTTGGACTTTTCAGCTGGTAAAAGAGAGCCAAAGTTAACAAAATCATGCAGCAGAACAGGTCTAACTGTCCCACGTACTGCAACCTTATTTCTCTCAAATAATAGTAAGCTTCCCTGTGTGGATAGGGCCAGGATTCTCTTTTTTCATTTCTGTCTGTCTCTCTCTTATTTTTTATGTTTTCATTTTTGGGAGAGCTGGGATAAAGTTTGTTAAACCAATGTTAGAAGTTAAATTTAAATTCTTTCCTGTATTTCCCACTTCAAAATGGGAAGAAAGGGTGCCCCGAGTTTTCAGCAATTATCTGCAGAGGCAGCTACAAGGTTACAAAAAAGGAGACTTGGGGCTTTATGTGCCTTTGGGATGTTGGTTGCTTCACCTTCTGAGATGACTCTTTTGCCAGCTTTACATCCTTTAAATTTAGAGGCTTATCCCTAAAAACCTAATTCAGAATTACATGTACAAAGTGTCCTTTGTAGATAGATGCTTCTTTCTGCCACTCTCCTTCCAGCCTGTGGGCCACAAATTGCACAGGTTGACCATAGTCAACCTTAAGCCTACAAAAATTGTTCGGCAAGACGTTAACCCCATCCAGAAAGATTAACAGGAACTTTATAACAATTCAACAGGAAGGAATGTGGTATATGATCTTTGAGTAAAGTGCTTGGTATGAGGGTGCAGCAACATGTGGGCATAGTTTGGATGTTAGCCTGAAGAACCTCCATGCCTCTGGGTAGATGATTCAACAATTGCTCATCGGTAGATCCATCTGCAGACCAAAACCAGGATTGGCAGAGATCAATTAGTAATCACAGGAAATAGTAGAAGAGTTGGTAAAAAGGCAACAGAAGTAATCAGGAAGTAAAGGTGTCAGAGGTTATGAAACCAAATATTTGCAATCTGCAGGATCGTCTATATTTTTATTTTATAAAAGGAATATCTCCCTGAAGTTGTGCTTAACTCTATTGTCCGTGGAGTTTTCTAACTGGCTCTAAAAGTTTAAGAAAATGTAAAATATTTTCCTATTTTGTCTGACATATAACATTGAATGTCAGTCTTTTCTCAGTTGGGTTTTAGGTGTGTTGAATTACAAGTCCTATGATTCCAAGCTAGCATCATCAGTGTCCCTTAGATAGGTATGATGTCCACTGCAGCCTTGTGATATGTTGGGGAAACAGTGAATATAATCTCCTATTGGGAGAGTCATTGGTTCAACACAAGGGACAACAAGCTTTCACAGGACCAAGGCACATGTGTCGCCCCAAAAAATCTTGCAAATTAGGCTGATGCCAAGCATGTTGTTGCTTGAATCTCATGAGATGTGATAATTTCACACCAAGGTTTAATTCTAAGAAAATTATTTTGCTTTATTTCATTTAGGGTTCTGGGGATGAGGTCTAGTACTGTCACAGGATCTGTTCAGCACATAAGTGTGTCATTCTGAATCAAACGTAATTGTGTTGGACTTGATACAAATGGAACAATACTTCCAAGGCTGATTAGTGAAGTTCAGGAAAAAAGTAAGACAAATCTCTAGACATCTCTTTTAATGAGGATAAACAATGTTTCCTCCCAGCCCTTTGACTCAGCATAACCAGGCTAAGAAAGCGTCATTGTTATGCATTTCAAAATACCTTTGCAACATTTCTTTTTCTGATGGTAGTGAAATTCTTTTGAAAAAAAATGAAACCCTAATTGGAGCTTTCTATATATTTGCAATAGTTATTCTGAGTAGAAGGATTTTTTTTTTTTTGCAAATAACATTTGTTTGTAATGAGTGCACAGTATTGCTGCCTATGCATAATATTGAAAAACACTGTAAAAATAACCGATAGATAAATCAAGAAAATCAAGGGCATTTGATTATTTAATAATGTTTTCTCTAACATGGTGTTTAGATGTCTGAAACCAATTCCCTTGATCTTCAGTGGTGTGAATGGGAATGCTAGCTGGTGAATACTAGATCTGAAACAAAAATGGAAAGCACGAGATTGAACAGCTCACATTTTCTAAATATTTCATTAAAACAAAAATAAAAGGAGTGTTTACATTACAGCATGTTAAGTTTTTTAATGCTTAGATGGGGTTGTTGCATATCACTGCATTTGAAAAACAGAACCTGCTGGAAACTGAGAAACGTGAAACATTGATTGATTGATTGACTTGATTGATTGACTTGACTGATTCACTCAGTTACTCACATACTTTTAGCACAGGGACTGCAAATACCCAAATAAATCAATTGCAGGTCCTTGGTTTCTCCCAAGTGGGACTAAGCCGGTATTTGTCCTTCACAAATCTCTGCCAGAATTTATACACAAGTTTTTACAAACTGAGTCAGGGATTGCGGTCGGAGATCAGAAGCCCGAACCATCAGAATGTATGTTTGTGATGTGAAATCACATGTCTAGCATTTGAATAAGCCTTTTCTTGTTCATTCATTTGTCTAGTAAACACACACACATACACGCACACACATACACACACACACACACAAACAACAGTAGCCTTAAACCACCCCAAACCCTGAATGGCATCTTCTAGCAGTTCATGGAGAGCAGCAGTTTTCTCCTTGCTGATCAATTTCCCTCATTTTTGTGCATCAATCAGGAGGCAGCAAAGATGTTGTTCTATCCACCTCTGCTGCCCCATTGAGAATGTCAGTCATTGAGTCTTCCCTGTGACTTCTGTTTCTGGGGAAATATGGACATATGGTAATCCTAGTTTTGATCACATTGTATATTAAGATCATATCTGACAGGCTCTTAAGCAGACAACTGCTTAAAACCCAACATAATTCTTTCCAAGGGCAATCTTCACAGTGTTCTCATTAACAAGATTTATTGAGAAGAAAGGGTTGAAAGAATTCCAGCATCTGTACTATTTCGTCATATGCATGAGAGACCCTTCCGGTGATCCATGGAGTGGATCTTCTCATTGATACTGAAGAAGCTTGCAGCTGACTTTCTACATAATTGGCTCCTGAATCTTTATTAAGAGCACAAATAGGTGGGCCTCAATTAACAATAGTAATTTGGACCAGGAACTCTGTTGCTAAGTAATGTCGTTGTGAAGCAACTTACAGGAAGTTCTGAAATTTCCAGTTGCGGTCCTTTGGCAAATTTCATGGGATCGTTAGGTGCCATGTCACATAATTGCTATTGGTCAGACCCTGATGACTTCCCCTATTGACTCTTCTTGTTGAAAGCCTACATTTCAGGTTGCAAAAGCAGTCAAAGACTGTGATGACCCGGGGCGCGACACAAAAATAACCAAGTCACAAAAATAGAACAAAGTTCCTTTAATGCCTCCAACTTGGCTTCAAAGCTCCAATTATCATTGCCTGGAGAAAAAACTCCCCCACAAACAGTTGTGAAAAGGAAGAAATGCCATTCAAACTCAAAATACTTATAAATTATAAATAGAAAAAACAACACAAACCACACTGAAGCAATTAATGAGACAGGGCAGGATAAGGGCTTGAAGACGTCCACAGATATTGAAATACACACATTGGGAAGGACGCCAAAACTCAGATAAGAACTGAAAGACTAGAATTATTTCACACTTTGCTTCCAACACTGGGTCATGCGCAGTTTGTCCTTTTAAACAGTCCTCACAGTTGCAGCCCATGAAGGGGATCAGGGCTCTTTCCTCCCCCATAGAACACGCCATTCACATTTCTCCCTTATCTGCTCCTCCCTGCATGCCCTAGAATGAAGAGGGGATGGGCCTGGGTCTTCCTCTGAAAGCCCAGCTGGCCTGTGCCCTTCCCCAGTTTCCTCCACAACCTCTGGAGCCACACTTCTACTCCCTGTCGGCTGTTCCTCCTCTCCCTCCGAGTCAGACTCCAACAGGGGCATGACAAGGACACTGCAGCCATTGTAATTGTGAGCTGGTTGCCAAGTCCCTGAATCATGACACTGTGACAGCCACAGTTTTGAGGATAAATTTCCTTGTTCAGTTCTGTTGTATCTTCAGTTGCTGAAAAAGTGGTCATTAACTGAGGGCTGCCTGAATTCTAGGTTGTTTCTTGGGCCTCGGAAGACCAGGATAATAAGAATTAGAAAGACCAGATTGAGGCCATGACTAA